TCTTCCTCACAGTGGCCAACCCCGATGCCTTTTGGAAGCCCATAATTCAGACAAGAGCACAACAGCCTTTCCTACTGTGCTATCCAGCAACCAGTGGAAGTACTATATATAGCTGTAATTGACAGCATTAATCCTCCATGGAATTTGCTCAATTTCCTTTCACAGCTATATGACAGTCTAGCTACACCTGGGATTAAGAAGGCGGTTAGCAGTCACCCTGTGGTTCTTAAAAAAACTATTAACTAGGAGATGAGGGGTTGAGGAGATTGTAATCTGGATTACAGGTTGCCCAGAGAGGAAGTTTAAGCTTCTGCTTCTCAGTCAACACACTTGGTGAAATTTAACACATCTAAACAGCAGTTCGCATTAGGAAAGAAACTCCCATTGGGTGCCAGTGCCAAGTGCCAATTGCCACATGCCGTGTGTGTGTGTGTGTGTGTGTGTGTAAGATGTACAGTGGTACCTCAGGTTAAGTACTTAATTCGTTCCAGAGGTCCATTCTTAACCTGAAACTGTTCTTAACCTGAAGCACCACTTTAGCTAATGGGGCCTCCTGCTGCCGCCGCACTGCCAGAGCACGATTTCTGTTCTCATCCTGAAGCAAAGTTCTTAACCTGAAGCACTATTTCTGGGTTAGCGGAGTCTGTAACCTGAAGCGTATGTAACCTGAAGCGTATGTAACCCGAGGTACCACTGTATTTACTTAGGACCTAATATTTATATCACCCTCAAAGGGATAGAGGCTGGTTGTAATGAACAGTGAGGTGTTCAAAGAGCCACTGTGTGTGGTAATGAATTCAATAGTTTAACTATGTGCCGTGTAAAGGAGGAGAAGAAAAATATCTATCCACTTTCTCCACACCACACACACATATGTAAACCTCTATCATGTCCCCCTTACTCACAATTTTTCTTAACTAAGAAAGCCCAAATGCTGTCAACTTTCTTCATCAGGGAACTGTTGTTCCAGCTTCTTCATTCACCTTTTCCTGCAACATGGCAAGCTCTATTATGTCCTTTCTGAGATACAGCAACCATAATCTTATACAATATTCAAAGTGTGGTCGCTGCTCAGGTTTGTGTAAAGGCATTGCAATATTGAGGGTTTTACCTTTGATCCCTTTCCTAACGATAACATTAAATACACGTTTTTCATGGGTGCTGCATGGGTTGATGTTTTCACTGCCTTCCCACGATGATCCTAAGATTCATTTTCTGGTCAGTTGCCACAGGATCCAACCTTATCAGTTTACATGTGAAGTTAGGATTCGCAACCTCACATGCAACACCTCTTACTCATAATAAATCACATGACATGCCAATTCGGCTGGAGAAATCTTTTGCAGCTCTTTGCAATCCCTTTTTCTTTTTACCACTCAGAATAATGTGGTGCTATCAGCAGACCTGACCACCTCATGGCTCTAATCTCATTCCAGATCATTTATGAATGCTGGAAACCACAAATCCACTTCTTACATGTCTCTTCTTTATGAGAACTGTCCATTTATTCCTCTTTATTATTCTGTAATTCCTGTTCTACAACTAATTACCGCTTCATAAAAGGGCTTGTCCTCTTATCTTATATCTGCTTAAATAGTTCAGGAATTTTTGTTGAGGTATTTAGCACACAATGGCCCCTAGATCACCCATATTCAAATGCTTGCTGCACTCTCAAAGCTTAGTGAGACAGGGCTTAGAGTTGTACAAGCCACACTAGTCCTGCTTCAGCGAGATTTTCATACCCTCCAACATTTCTCCAATGAAAATAGGGGTGCCCTATTCAACAACAATAACAACAACAGTTATCCAGCCCACCTGATTGAGTTGCCCCAGCCACTCTGGGCGGCTTCCAACATATTTACGAACATAATAAAACATTAAACATTAAAAAACTTCCCAATATAGGGCTGCTTTCAGATGGCTCAGGGGGTCGGATAACTCCATACCCTCCAACATTTCTCTGGTGAAAATAGGGGCGTCCTAAGGAAAAGCGGCACGGGTGGCGCTGTGGGTTAAACCACAGAGCCTAGGACTTGCCGATCAGAAGGTCGGCGGTTCAAATCCCCGTGACGGGGTGAGCTCCCGTTGCTTGGTCCCTGCTCCTGCCAACCAGCAGTTCGAAAGCACATCAAAGTGCAAGTAGATAAATAGGTACCGCTCCGGCGGGAAGGTAAATGGCGTTTCCGTACGCTGCTCTGGTTCGCCAGAAGCAGCTTAGTCATGCTGGCCACATGACCCGGAAGCTGTACACCGGCTCCCTCGGCCAATAAAGCGAGATGAGCGCCGCAACCCCAGAGTCGGTCGACTGGACCTAATGGTCAGGGGTCCCTTTACCTTTACCTTTTAAGGAAAAGCGGAACATTCTGGGATCAAATCAGAAATTGGGACGGCTTCTGTAAATCCAGGACTACCCCTGGAAAATAGGGACACTTGGGGGGTTTGGACTTCTTCTAAATGCTTCATCGTTTTATATTTAGCAATGCTCTTGAGGTGTCCTTCTCTAACTCATTAGATCAGGACAGGCAGAACGAGAAGCTAAGGCCCCCTCATTCTCTTAGAGAAGGTAAGTCAACAGAGGAGTCTGGCAGGAATGAAGTCGGATTTTGTGTTACTTAGGAATGAACGGGGCTCTGTTTGGAGAATCCTTAAAGATCGATTCCCCCTGGATCCCTCAAGCACTTCAGTACCTTCCCAGAGAACACACCATGCATTTAAAGCGCATTGCTTCCCCCAGAGAATCCTGGGAGTTGTAAGGATCCCTTCCCAGCACCCTTAAACTACAGTTCCCATGGTTCTTCAGGCAAATTCATGTGATTTAAATGTGCAATAAATGTATGGTGCGTATTCCGCCCTGATGGGGCTGAGCTCCAAGACCTGCATTTAACCACAGCGATCCATCATGAAGAAAAGGTTGTTCCTGATGACATGAAGAGGGCCTTTCCCTCACCTCACCCACAGAGCAACCACAACCAGCATCCTTGCATTTGGGATAAAAGAGAAAGGCTTCCCATCAGAGAGCAGAACTACCAGGTAGGTTTGAACTCTGACACCTCATTTTTTGAACAAAAGTCTTGGCTCTGGCTTTCATTGTTTCCTGCATGCATCCTGTATCCTGGTTAACTTTATCCCATTTGCCTGGCCCTATTCCCATTGCTATATAGCAGTAGCTCCTCTTCCTCCTCTGCTACCGGCTGTGACCTGTGTTTTCAGGCACATCTCCTAGTAAACGTCCCCCCTCCACTCACAAAGGTGTGAGTCAGCCTTCAGGCATGAGCAGCTGGCCAAGGCTTCCAGCACATCTGCACGTCCCCACGGCTAAGAATAGGTTGAAGGGGAAAGGGTAAACCTGCACATCCTGGTTTTCAACAACTGCTAGATCCTCTCTTTGAGAATCCCAGGAATCTGAACTAGAAGGCTTGATTTGTGGCTGCCTAATTTCACTGTCTGCAGCTGGGCAACCTTCCTCACAGGCCTCATCCAGAACTGGCCCGAGATCTTCCTGTTATAGGCCTGGGTAGGCCGGTCAAACCTGCTGGCATTGACAAGGCATATGACCCTCACCTGAATCTCATAGCGCTCCTGACAGGTGATTTGGTCTGCAGCCACAGTGTGGAAATAAAGGAGGAGATTGCCCACCAGAAACCAGGCACTCTATTATTCAAATTAGGCCCCAGTGTTTTTCTTACAACCCCCTTCTCAACGAATTAATCAATTTTAATGTAGCATGTAAAATCTCAAAACTTTCTTATTTGTTAATTCCAGCAACTACTGCTCTCACTTCATTACAAACAGTATTTATAGCTGCAACATACTTGAGCAAACCTGTTCCTCTTCCTTTCACAGATATTTTGTTTCCATTTGCAACTATAGCTGCCTCTGATGAGTTATCACTTAACTCGGGGGGGGGGGGGGATTAGCATCAGACGTCATGTGCATGGAAGTTGCCAAATCAATTAACCAGCTAAAAGGGTTACAGTCAATAGCACCAGTTTTCCTAAAACTTGATATTGCTGGATAGTTCTGATGAACTGCAAAAGCATTTTTATTTTGCTTTCTGTTGCCACCCTGGAACTTTTCTTTATTAGTGCCAGTTTGTTCCCTCGGCCTGAAAGCGAGATGAGCGCCGCAACCTCATAGTCGCCTTTGACTGGACTTAACCATCCAGGCGTCCTTTACCTTTACCTTTTCCCCTGCCAATCTTACCTAGCATATGCACCTTTCTGAAGGAGGGTCTCCACCCCCATCGTTCTACCTGGACACTGAGGTCCAGCGCTGAGGGCCTTCTGGTGGTTCCCTCACTGTGAGAAGCCAAATTACAGGGAACCAGGCAGAGGGCCTTCTTGGTAGTGGCGCCCGCCCTGTGGAACGCCCTCCCACCAGATGTCAAAGAGAACAACTACCAAACTTTTATAAGACATCTGAAGGCAGCCCTGTTTAGGGAAACTTTTAATGTTTGCTGTATTACTGTATTTTAATATTTGGTTGGAAGCCGCCCAGAGTGGCTGGGGAAGTCCAGCCAGATGGGCAGGGTATAAATAATAATAAATAATAATTATTATTATTATTTCTGCACATGTCTTGGTGGTGGAACTGCATTGCAACATTCAGAAAAGTGCAGATTTCAGTACAACCTAACAGCTGTACCCAATGCAAATCTGCCCACTCATCTGATGCAGTTTTTTTAAAAAAAACCTGCCCCCTTGCTTTTCTGATGACACAAAACACAAACTGGGCAAAGTGTTCGTACTGCCTTCCTCATCAGTTGGCCGCTGATGTTAAGCCGCCCTTTGGAATGGGGAAGGATAGCAACGGGTGGTGGGAGAAATCGAGAATACAAGGGTGCTTAGATCTCAAGATGGGAGGAGGGAAAATACTAGGGAAGCTGGCGTTTACGTGTAGACCTGTATGTGCGTGTGTGTCTGAGGACATGTCTGTCTGTCTGGGAGGTCAACAGAGGGCGGGGAGGCAGCGGAGGTGGGGGAAGAATCCCTGCAGAGTCAGACAGGATGAGCTAGTGTGAATATGTGTGCATGACAGAAAGCATGAAAAGGAAGGCATGGGCTGGGGGCTGAGGGTGGGAAGGAATAGGCTACAGCCCTTTGCCTATCCTTCAAACAAGCCGGGAAGACCCACCCCCATCCTGTCTGCTTGTGAAGGTTTTGGAAGCTCCTCCAAAAGCCCCACCCCCTGAACAGTAGCATAAAAGCCACACACCCATCCCAGTGACTGGACACTAAACAGCTACTGCTGGACAGAGCCTCAGAGTCAAAGGGACCAGACCAGACTCAACTCGACTGAACCGCTCGAGATATCAGGTAAGTGTCTCCATCTCCTCAGGACTTCTGCGTGCTCTGGGATTTAGAGAGGCTTTGTGGCTTCTCGGGTAGCTGATAGGCTTGTGTTAAGAAGGGCTTTGCTGAGCCTCTCTTGGCTTTTGGGAGGTAAAGCAGATGTTATCGACCCAGAAGTATGGATGGGATGGAACTGATCAGGTGGGCTGTGATGATCTATCAATAGCTGAGGCAATATATTCCTCTGGGTTTGGGGAGGGAAGCATACGAGCTGGATGTGAGCATCACTTGGCTACTTCCAGGGTGATCGGAGAAGGTTCAGAATGGCTCACTGTTTTCCAACAGATTAATTAAATTCCTTTCTGGGGCTTAATTTATAAACTTGAATTAAAAATTAATTGGGGACACATTTTTTGTCGCTAATTTTTTTTTAATTGATCAATCTAATTGATTGGTCAAACAAAACATTGCAGTAATTACCTGCCAGGGGTCCCACCTCATTTTAAAATACTTATTTACATGCATTCATATCCGATTTAAAATATCCCATGGATGAGTTCTGTGAGCACCAAAAATGCATTGTTGTAGACCTCACCATAAGGGAGAGATGCTGCTTTTGCTGAGTCTCAGGCTGCCTTGAAATCGCACCCTCATCCAAGATATGTGGAGGGTTGTGGTTGTTGGTGAGGAAGGAAAGGCAGTCTGCTCAGATATATTTTTGTTAATACTTCAGGTGCCCCTTGAACGCAGGATCCAGAACGGAGCCAGAATGAACTATAGCACAGATTCATCTTTGCCCTTTTCTTCCCAGGTCAGGATCATGGATTCAATAAGTTTTGTTGTGATGCTTTGTTTGCTGATGACATCTTCATGTCAGCCCTGGAGGGCATTTGGAGCACCAGACAGGTGAGCAGCTGGGAAATGGGCAGGCGGCGATTCAGGGTGGTTGGTTTCGAGTAAGGAGGAGGGCAACACAATGCATAAACCACAAAATTCACCCCCACAAGAGGTAGCAATGGGGCCACCAACTTGAATAATAATAATACTAATTTATTATTTATACTCTGCCTACCTGGCTGGGTTTCCCCAGCCACTCTGGGTGGCTTCCAACAAAATATTAAAATACAATAATTCATCAAATATTAAAAGCTTCCCTAAACAGGGCTGCCTTCAGATGTCTTCTAAAAGTCAGATAGTTGTTTATTTCCTTGACATCTGGTGGGAGGGCATTCCACAGGGTGGGCATCACTACCAAGAAGGCCCTCTGTCTGGTTCCCTGTAACTCCGCTTCTTGCAGTGACGGAACCGCCAGAAGGCCCTTGGGGCTGGACCCCAGTGTCTGGGTGGGGGTGGAGACACTCCTTCAGGTATACTGGGCTGAGGCCATTTAGGGCTTTAAAGGTCAGCACCAACACTTTGAATTGTGCCCGGAAATGTACTGGGAGCCAATGTAGGTCTTTCAGGACCGGGTGTTATGTGGTCTCGGCACATGAATGGTTTTAAAAAAGGATTAGGCAAGTTGATGACTATTTATGGCTGCTTGCCATGATGTCTATGTGCTATATCTGCTGTCAGAGGCAGTGTTCTTCTGAATTTGCTGAGAATTGCCCATGCACTTAGGTATTGCTTGCGGGATTCCCAGCCACATCTGGGTGGCCGCTGTGTGAACAGGAGGCTGGACCAGATGGGTCACTGGCCCGATTCTGATGTTCTGATGAGACAGTGAGTGATCCTCCCCTCATCTTATGCCCATCATCAATGTGTTATAATCACCCTACTTCCTTATTTTCTGCAGGCGGCAGCCCCCTCCTTTTGCCTCCTTCCTGAATCAGCTCCTGAAGATACGCGAAGGAGCAGATGGTAGAGCCTTGCAGGAGCCTGGGCTGGAAGCAGGAGAAAGGTCCACCAAGTGGGAGCAGCTGGAGGGAGTGAGAAGCCAGCTGAACCTGTTGAAGAGGTAAGTGGTACCTTGAAAGGACAACATCCCTGCACTCAGAGCAGACTAGCCCCATTAGATCACCCTCATATTCCAGAGATCACTACCTTCAGCTTTCCATCTCACACCCGTCCAGGAATGCAGGAAACTGCTTTATACTGAGTCATACCCTCAACCCATCTTGCTTAGTAATGGCAGCAGGTCTTTTGGGTTTTTGACAGGCGAGATTTTCTTCCCTACCAGGAGATGTTGGAGTTTGACCTGGGACATTCTGCTACTGAGCTATGGCCCTTGATGATCATCTGTCATGGATGCTTTAGCTGAGATTCATGCATTACAGTCACTTGGACCAGATCCCTTCCAACTCAACAGTTCTATGATTCTAGAGCTGTGTCTTCCAGCGCAGTAGTCCTCAGACCTTCCCAGAGAACCTGGGAGTCAGGGCATGGTCTTTTAACCAGTCAAACCTGTGCGACAATAGATCTAGAACAGGGCTAGCTAATGTGCTGCCTTCCAGATCTTGCTGGATTCCAAATCCCATCAACCCTAGCCAGGGATGATGGGAGTTGTAGTCTGAAGGGTACCATGCTGGCTACGTCTGATCTAGAATATAATAATCTTGATTTTGCTTGATCTGCATTTCGCAAGAACAAAATCGCTCTCTCTATCTTACAGTTTAAATTTCTTTTTTTCCCTTGGGGTTAGGGCTTGTGAAACAGCCTGGCAAGCTAAACGTATCATCTAACCATACAACACCTATTTGTGTCAGGCAGAAAATATGTAAAATGCGTCCCACAGACAGAGGTTGCCAAACTGTCTCTCCCCTCCTCCTTTTAATTAACCTGGGAGGTGTTTTGCTTCCCAATAGGCAGAAATTTTGCTGGTGAAGCTTTTTCTGATGCAGTAATGAAATAACTCATGAGGACTCTTCCTATTAAAACAGTGGATGCAGTTAGGAGTACCGTGACACTTCATTACCATGTTAGAAATGGGGAGAAATTCACTGGCAAAACTGATTTTTCCTCCTACACATGTTTGGGGCATGACCCAGTCTTGATTTGCAATTGCATGATACTGATCTAATTTGACAAATAGTCTGACTCAGTATACGACAGCTTCCTGTGTCCCTATATAGGGTGTAGTTATTTGGATGGTAGTGAAGACTGAGTCCCCCCCCCCCCCGTGTGAAAGTTAGCCTTTCACTATTCTTCTGTTTTTAATCACGGCCCCAAACTGGACCAGACCGAGATGAAGCCATCTCTTGGCTGGGCGAAAGCCAATTCCTAGCCCTATGACAATCTTAGCCTGAGTTCCTCAGGTGGTGCGATGGGTCAGGGCACCAGGCTGTTAACCAAAAGGTTGGTGGTTCGAGCCCACCCAGGGACTGCTGTGGGCAGGATTCCTGCATTGCAGGGGGTTGGACTAGATGACCCTCGGGGTACCCTTCTAACTCTATGATTCGAAGCCTCAGCTCTAGTATAGCATGGATAGGGAGCCTGTGGTTCTCCAGATATTGCTGGACTATAATTCACATCATCCCCCATCACTGCCTGGCTGTGCCTTTTGCTCCCATTCAGGAGATCATTCCTCCTGCTCCAGACCCTATATAGGTCCTCTACAAGACCCTAGTGTTCCTCACACTTCTTTTCCCCACCCACAGCTCCGCTCCTGGGCACCGTGTCCCCCGGCACCTGCTGGCCTTGCCTTCCATGCGCGGATGCCAGCTTGGCACCTGCCAAGTGCAGAACCTCGCCAATCTGCTGTACCGTTACGGGGGCAACAACCAGAAGGACGAATCCCGCAAGAACAACAAGGACACAGCCGATCCCATGGGCTATGGGCGCAGGAGACGCCGGGCGGCTGGGCATGGCTTGCCCACTCCCACTTAAGAGACACCATGCTGACGAGGGGAGAGATGGGCACTAACTGAACCAGGCTCTGGGAAGCCGCAAGGATCAAGAGAACACACTCAGTGACCCTGAGCGCTCGGAGGCAATGGGCAACTACAAGCGTGGCCACCATCATGGGATGGTTGTGGGTCTTCTTCTGTCTCCAGCATTTTAGTGCCCCCCATCCCAGTTCAAGATTTGGGCCACTGGTGCCTAGGCAAAGCTTCATGGGGATGCAAGGCTGCAGAGCGGATAGCTGCTATGGCTCACAGGGTGTTCAGTGGAGTTGTGTGTTCAGCGGTGGTCAAGCTAAGAGCCTCCTCTCCAACGGGGGGGCAGCAGCTCTTTGCCAGAACGCAGGAGGAGGATGCTATAGAAGTCAAGGAAGAGGATGGGAAAGTGGTCATGCCCCCCCCCCCCCGGAAAAGAACACTGGAACATCTCAGTGTTGCGGAATAGCTCCTCTGCAAAATACAAATGGACTTCACCGGCTGTGTGACATCGCAGGCAGGGTGGCGGGATTCCTGGGCATTCCTGGCTTCTGGGATTCTGTGCTTCATTTATGCATCTGGAGTTGCATCAAGAGGAGTTTTCAAGTAAAGAGATTTATCCACCTGGAATTGTTTGTGGTGTTATTTGGTGCCTTGGCTCGGGTGAGGTTGCTATGTGTGCTAGGAGAAATGAGTGGTTGGGAATGGATGCAAATTTGCCCCCGCCTCCTGGTGTTAATTAAATGGCACACCTCTCTCAGCGATCCCAGGCTTCCTGGTACTGCCCTGTTGCACTTCCTGCAGGCACCAATGTAGTCCAGTTTGTGCCTAGGTGGAACTAGGAAGTGTGGATGAAGTCCCATGTTTGGTTGCCAGAAGTGTGGTTATACTCCTTATTCAATGAAGGATTGCTGCAAGCTGGTGAGATCCTTTCACAAGCCTTGGTTGTTCTGAACAACGACAGAACGGCATGGGCTCCTGAGCACTCTGCTTTGGCTCTTGGGACCTCTGAGATGCTCTGAGATGCTTGTTGTTCCCAAAGAAGGGGTTACAAAGTTTTTCACTTGCCTAAAAAACCCATTGGTTGGTTGAAGATAACCTGAGCATAATCTGTGCTGTCATTTTGTTGATCACTGAGAGCTATAAGCAGCTGGAGCTTCTGTATTTTTCTGCCCAGGTTGCCATTACCATCCATCCATCTATTATTATTATTATTATTATTATTATTATTATTATTTATTATTATTTTGACTAAGTAATAGTCATAAATAAATAAGAATAAAAATGTGCACCCCATCCCCAAGACCATTCCATTGTAACTATCCAACCTCCCAAAATTTCAACACCACCTGCGATGGTTTGGCCCCTTTCCATTTTAACAGGACAAATTCTACAAACACCTTCCATATCTCCTCAAAATCATTTCTCCTGCATATTCCCTGTCTTACCTTAATGGCACATGTTAATTTATCATCAACAGCTATATCCCGCACACCATTACCATTTATTTGCAAATTAATACATGGTTTGTGCCTCCACCTTTTATCTCTTCACAACGATCCTGTGAGGTAGGTTAGGGTGGCCCAACATTGTGCGCTTCATTGATGAGTGGGGATTTGGACCTGGGTATCTCCAGTCCAGGTTGGCCATTGTAACCACCAGAAAAAATATATATTAAAGGGATGCAAAGAATGAGAAAATACTAGGATGCCCCATCTCCCCCTAAAGAAGAGAGGTGGCTTAGATCAGTGTTTCCCAAGCTTGGGTTGCCAGCTGTTTTTGGACTACAACTCCCATCATCCCTAGCTAGCAGGACCAATGGTCAGCAATGATGGGAATTGTAGTCCAAAAACAGCTGGAGACCCTCGTTTGGGAAACACTGGCTTAGATCAATGGAACTGTGAGCCACACCTGCTGGTTTCTTGGAAAGGTGGAGATGGTAATTAATCAAGACCAGGGCTAGCCAATGCAGTGGGCTCCAGATGTTGTTGCACTCTATATCCCATCAGTCAATGGCTAAGGATTATGGGAGTTGTAGTCCAACATTTGGAGGGCACGAGGTTGACAAACCTTGAGCTAGAGGTGCACATGTCAATGTGTATGAGGTCTCCTGTTGGGCGACCTGCACCCAAAGGTCTGCCTGTGGCCTTCTTTGGCTTAATTTCAGGTGGATGGTGGGGGTGGAGGGACCCCAAAGGCCAAGGTGGGGGTGGGAGGGGGGTGGTGCAAGAAGGGAAGGGAATTCTCTGCAAGCAATCACCTCAGACGTCTACTGAAAGTGACCTGTCTCTTCTCCACAAATTTCAGCAGCTCTCTCTCTCTCTCTGTTTGTATAAGAGGAGGAGAAAGGCTGTGAGAGAACTGGAGTGTCAAGAAGAAAGAGGGGAGGGGCAGAAAGAGAAAAGGGGTAGCAGGACAAAGAATGAGCGAGGACAAGTGCCTGGGAGGACTGGGAAACCAGGTTGGGTTGGGATTCTCGGGGGAGTGAAATTCAGGCCTTAGGCATGATCTGACTCATTCCAGAGCCGGTTCACAAAATACAAACAAATTAAGATTATTATTAAAAAACAAACGAACCCACACACACCACACATTAACATTTTCTACTCATTTTGCAACTCCTGCTTCCATGAACAAGGAGGCAATGAAAAGTGAAATGAAACGAGGTTCAGAAAACTGGTGCTCTCGTGGGTAGTGAAACAGGGAGACTTGAGGCTATTGTGGAGGGGTGGGCTGGGGGGAAGCCGACTGGAAATCTGGGGTTGGGGAAATCTCCCCCCCCGCCCCGCCCTCCGGCTTCAAAAAAAAAAGGAGGGTCAGCGGCGGCGCCTCCGGAACCAAAGATTTCAAGGCGGGGGCTCCGGAAGCCCCGACCACCTCCAGCAGCATCAGCATCAATAAAGCTGCGCGGGGCATTTCGGGAAAATCCTTGCACGGCCGGAGCCGGCATGGCCAGCTGGGCGGCGACGAGGAGGGGAGATGCTGGAGGGCGGCGGGCAGGCGGGAGAGGACAGGCGGACTAGTGGGTAGAGGAGCAGGGGGCCGCCAGGGGCAAGGACCCGGAGGAGCGAGGAAGGAACTGCTCGGAAAGGAAGAGAGAACGGAGAGGATGGAGAGGAGGAGGAGGAGGAGCTGGGGTGCCGCTGGGGACCCCCGAAAGGCTGCCCGTCGCCAGGGGGGTCCTGCTCCCCAGCCCTGAGCTTCGGCGCATGGCTCAGCCCCGGAATTGGGCCCGGTTGCTCTTGGCCGGGGGGTCACCCCAGAGAGGTCGCAAGGTGAGCCCTCCCTTCCCCCACCCCGGGCCTAGTGGGTGCTGCTGGCAAGACAGGGCTTCTTTCTGGGGGCTGCTGGGGAGGCCAGACCAACCCGGGTCTGTAGTAGCAGAAACTGGGGGTGGGGGGAGGAAGGCACTGGGGGCGGTTATGGGTTAGTGGCGGTGAGTTATGGGTTCCCTGAGGGAGCAGTGGAGCCTAGTGGGAGTAGCTGTGTGGGGTGGGGGTGCCTTCTTCTGAAAGGACCAAAGGCCCAGGGTCCCAATCCAACCTGAGGTGCGGGTTGTTGTTGTTTTTTTGATTTTCCCAGAGTTGGCAGCCTGACCCCTCCGGAGGAGCCCAATGAGACTTGCTGGTGGAACAGGTATGTAATAGCTGATGGAAGGTGGTCTCTATGGGGGGTCGGGTGGGATGCCAAGGTTTACGGACGCCCGTCTGTGTACAGCTGGCCGTCGCTTCCTGAGGGCATCCACTACATAGGGTACTATTTATAGACAAGCCTGTGCAGATTCCAAGGCTGGGGTTTGATCAATGATCTGTTGGCACGATGGAGATTGGAGGGGGGCGGGGGGGGGACTTTGGGGGAGGAAATGGCAAGCAGGCGAGTGGCCGTCCCCTCCAGCAGGCATTGATTTATGCCTCTGCTGCTTTTGCTTGGCTTGCTACTGTAATGAGATGGTGGGGGCAGAGATAATTGCTTGCTTCCAAAACCTAAATGGCAAATAGGATTTTTCTTATGCCACTTTGTACACACACACACACACACACTCCCAAGTCGTTCCACCAGATGAGAAACAGTGTCTGTCATGTTCAACTTTCTAGAAGGTAAGGAGGTCAGTGGCCCTGGATCCTCTGAGGTCATGTGAAGCAGCTGTATTTTTTCATATTGTGATTTTTTGCTGTAACCGCCCTAAGACCTATTATTAAAAAAACAAACAAACAAACAAACCCACACACACCACACATTAACATTTTCTACTCATTTTGCAACTCCTGCTTCCATTAACAAGGAGGCAATGAAAGACCTACAAGTATAGGGTGGAGTAAAAAATATAATTAATAATAATAATAACAACAATCTCTTAAGTAGGTCTGGGGATGGGCAGTGCCTGGAAGTGAGACCTCTGAGAAACTTATGTTAGCCAATCCTTTCCTCTGTCAAAAATAACGTGAAGGCCAGTAGAAACTTTTTTTGTGTGGGGGGTGGATGTCTTTGTTTCCCTTCCTCACTTGGCTCCTCTCGTACACACACCCCTCCTCCAATGTTGTAATCATTTTAATTTTAGCAAACATGCTTTCTTTCGTGGGTAGAAAAGCAATTTCGGGAGGCCAAAGTATCTTCAAAGGATCACACCCTTTTATTCCATGTCAGATCATGCAGCCTCACATGTAACTCCATAAAAATTACTAGCTGACAAATATGTTTACTAGCTCACCTGATTTTATATTCTTCCTCTGCTAGTTATTTGTGCCATTACTGTTGAGCTATAGGGGAGGCAGGGGAAAAAGAAAACCCCCCTCCCTCTTTTTAAAGTTTGCAAATGTTTCCTTCTCCTGCCACTTGGAAGAAATTAAAGGGCCAAACTTTTCTTTTAATAAGAGAAAAATGAAAATCTGCCGCAAGAGCCTGCAAATTTAAACCAGAAGGTTGATGCTTAATCATTTTCCCACAGGTCATTTTCATGATTAAAATCAGCCTCCCAACATTACTTTTCCACTGGTTAACTTTTTGTTCTTAATTATGGTAAACTGGTCTGCCTGTCTGCTATGTTTGGTGTTCGTTTGGTGCTTACTTGTGTTAAGCAAAGTCTTGTTTAACTGAGTGAGACATTTCCATGAGCTGTAGTGGCAGGCAGTGAAATACCTAACATTTAAAAGGCACTTCCTGATACCACAGAAAGCACATTTTTGTGTGGCTGGCTGCCATACACTTGTACATCTTTATCACCTCACACCTTTTCCCTAAACCTATAAGTAGAAAGTCTTAAGTAAGGAAACCAGCAAATGTGCACCTCATGCATATGAGATAGAGAGAGACTGAGCAATGGCTTGATGCCTAAACAACAGCACTAGCCATGCCAGTTTTGGTGGACAGCTGTCACTCAATAGAACCCAGAATACTAGGCATGTAGGGGTGTGTGGGTGTGAGGGTGTGGAATCTAGTGGATCAAGTGGGTCAATAGGAATACATATCATAGGTGCCACCTAGATAGCATTCTGAAATGGGCCTCAGAAGTCACGCAACCTCGAGGGTTATTAAAATAATGTTACTTTTCAGGCTATTTTCTAATTCTGCTTCAGGTAATAGATTAAAAAGAGAGATATTTGCTTCCTGGAAGGCTCAGTGGGGGCAGAAGACCTAGGCTAAACTATATCCATATAATTAATGGATATAGTCCATTGTGTTGGTGTTTTTGAGCAGCTAGCATTCCAGTTTAATTGTTCGTTGTAAAAAGATAAGACTGGATGCCATTCAGGAATGAAGCGAATCTACCTGAGAGGTGTTGGTGGTTAGAAAGCAGGCAGCGCTTCTTTCTGTGATAGCATTAGAGGAGGTCTGCTTCTTCCTGCATCTCTGCCTAAAGGAGGGGCGAGGAACCTCAGACCTCTCTGGCCAACAGAACTCCCTGTGCCTCCCTCTCTCTAGGTCACATTTCTCAAGGGCCCTGCTGTGCATCTTATTCGAGTGCTTCTGTCTGTCTGGGACCTGTTCTTGACCTGAGACAATGCCTCTTCCTTGCTTGGGTGGGGGGCAGAAGGATTTGTGTGTATGTAGAGTCGGTGATGCTGAAAACCTCTGACTGTGTGTGGCTGGAGGACTATAGCCTGCTTCAACAGAGGTAAGACTCCTGTCCATTACCGCACTTTCTTTTGTCTCTGGCCCTGCCCACCAGTGGCATGTGGCTCTCTGAACAGGGTCCCCATCCCTGGTTTGATATCCTCCAGGGGGTTCCTCAACTTCCTTTCTCCTCTCCCTCTCTCCTTCTTCCGCAAACCGTTAGGGGCTGGATGTGAAGCTGTGCTCCTCCTGGGGCCCAGTGATGTTTGTGCATGTAAACTCTGGGTCCTAATTTGTTTCTACAGTGATACCTCAGGTTACAGGTGCTTCAGGTTACAGACTCCGCTAACCCAGAAATAGTACCTTGGGTTAAGAACTTTGCTTCAGGATGAGAACAGAAATTGTGCAGCGGCGGCGTGGCGGCAGTGGGAGGCCCCATTAGCTAAAGTGGTACCTCAGGTTAAGAACAGTTTCAGGTTAAGAACGGACCTCCAGAACGAATTAAGTACTTAACCCAAGGTACCACTGTACTTACATTGAGTATTACTGGCACGGGGGCACCATGTTTGTCTAGCTCCCAAGCATAGTGTTGGCTTAGATGGAGCTTGCAAAGGCCATTCTCCTCCCCCCTCCCCAAGGTAGCTGTGTATGATTTGAGGTCGTTGAGTTGCACACCCCAGTTTCTTATATGTAATTGTCATCTTTACGCATTTTTTAAAAAAGTGGTTTGATTAGAGACAGTCTGGACAGCTCAGTTGGTTAGAGCATGGTGCTGATAACGCCAAGGTTGCAGGTTCGATCCCCGTATTCATATTCCTGAATTGCAGGGGGTTGGACTAGATAGTCCTCAGGGTCCCTTCCACCTCTACAATTCTATGATTCTGTGATGTGCAAGAAAAACAGACTTGATTAGGGACAATTGTTGCATACAGTAAGCCTGCAAATTACGTGGGGGTTATGTTCTGTGGATTGCGCCTAAAACCACAATTGCATATAGTCAAAACCCATTGAATCCAATTGTGGGGGGAGCGGGGCAGGGATTGCCAGCATCCTTTCCCCCAGAACTCCAGCCCCTTTTAATTTAATTTAATTTAATTATTTATTTTGCCAGGCGCATAAAGCTGAATGTGCACATGTAAAATGTGTGTAACTTGGGGCTTGCTGTAGTTTTAACGTGGAGAGCCCCAGCCTGGTGTAGGGAAGGCCAAAGCTTATTCTATTTTATTGTTTGTTTATTTTAATTTCTCTCCTTTTAAAGCAGTGTACAAATAGGTACAGGAGGGATACACAAGCGATGCTGTGTACAGTGAGTTAAAAGATAATCAGGAAAACTGAACTTGAAATGCCTTCTTCTCTTTTAAAAAACAACCAACAAACCACCAAACTGTTAGTACCTTTGAAAAGCTAAGCAGGGTCTGGTATGGTTTCAAATTGGATGGGAGACCATGTGTTGAGATTCCTGCATTGCAGGGATTAGACTAGATAACTCTCGTGGTCATAAGATAGTGCCCTGTGGAACACTTTAGCACAAGGATCGTGAGGCCAAAACCCAATTTCCCAGTGTTATTCTCAGGTTGGAGAAGAAGAATAAGAGTTTGGATTTGATATCCCGCTTTATCACTACCCTAAGGAGTCTCAAAGGGACGCGGGTGGCGCTGTGGGTTAAACCACAGAGCCTAGGTCTTGCTGATCAGAAGGTCAGCGGTTCGGATCCCCGCGACGGGGTGAGCTCCCGTTGCTCAGTCCCTGCTCCTGCCAACCTAGCAGTTCGAAAGCACGTCAAAGTGCAAGTAGATAAATAGGTACTGCTCCGGTGGGAAGGTAAACGGTGTTTCCGTGCGCTGCTTTGGTTCGCCAGAAGTGGCTTAGTCATGCTGGCCACATGACCCGGAAGCTGTACGCCGGCTCCCTCGGCCAATAAAGCGAGATGAGTGCTGCAACCCTAGAGTCGGCCACGACTGGACCTAATGGTCAGGGGTCTCTTTACCTTTAAGGAGTCTCAAAGTGGCTAACAATCTCTTTTCCCTTCCTCCCCCACAACAAACACTCTGTGAGGTGAGTGAGGCTGAGAGACTTCAAAGAAGTCTGACTAGCCCAAGGTCACCCAGCAGCTGCATGTGGAGGAGTGGGGAAGCGAACCCGGTTCACCAGATTACGAGTCCACTGCTCTTAACCACTACACCACACTGGAGGGGAACCACTGTAAAACTGTGCCCCAAATAGTCATCCCTCAGAGCTGGCCTTTTGGGATGCAGTGGCATATATTTATACAAATAATTATATATCCCCATATCATAGACATATGCCACAGAAGTTTAAAACAAGCCATGCAGTAACATCATATTTAAAACCAATTAAGAACAGAAGAATTCAGAGCAAACACCAGTAGACCATTAATTGCCTGGGTACGTCTGGAATGTAGAGCAGAAATGTTTTCAGCATGCTTTAAAAGCTGGCACAGAAGGTGCCCATTGAACCTCTTTTGGAGGGATGTTCCAAGAGGTAAACATCTGGCTCTTATTATTTAGTTCCCTGTAGGCTCCCATGGCAAGAATTGGGAAGTCTTCGCTATTTTGCCAGGCTGATTACAAACCAGTACAACCAGTTTTGAAGTGGGAGGGAATTTGAGCGGAAGAGTCAGCCAGCACATTTCTTAGAGGAGGCTGCAAGGAGCAGATTGCATCTGTGCTTAGGCGATCCAGCGCTGTACGCAGGTAGGATTGGGTCCTGGAGCAAAGAACACGCAGGAAATTGGATCAGGGAATGGGTGGTTGTGTTGACAGAGGATTTAGGGCAGCCTCAGAGGATATAGTGGAATTTCCTTGGCGGTTCTTCCACAACTCAGTTGTATGGGAGAAGGAATGAGAGGGATGGAGGGTGTGAAGATTGGGGCAAATAGGGCTGCGATTCCAGATCTAGTGGAGGAGAGGGCTGGATTTTCTGGAATGGTGGAAACAGACCAGTAAAGCTCCCATTGTTCCTGACCATTCGCTGGGCTGGACGTGATGGAAGTTGCAGCCCAGCAATATTTGGGAGGGACTGAAGTCTTCGAGGTTCTGTAAAAATATGTTTTAATATGCTCCATGTTTTGGTGGAAAACAGGGTTGTGTGTGTTGTTGGTGTTTTGGTTTGCGTGGATATGGGGAAAAGTGGTGTCTTGCCAACACTTTGGGTGGGGTTGTAGAGTATAGCAAAGAGCCAATTGCCAGGATTCCCGAGTCCCACATTTCAGAACCTGTACCCCAGTTTGTCTCTTCCCTGTCACTGCCTTGGGTTTCCACCCTACCATGCTTTCTCTTGGAAAGTGTGCTTGTGTCCATTTGTTTGTTCATTTGTGAGTGGGAGGCTGATTGGTGGATGCCTCAAAGGAAGCGCACTTCCTGATTTAAACTCATTCCAGAGTGTCTGTCTCACCGGGTGGGACTCAGAGAGCAAAACTGAACGACATTTGGCAACGTCACTGTTCCATAGCAGTGGAGAGGGCTGGAGCACACGAGAGCCTAAGGTTAGCCCTCAGCCTAATGACTTGCTCTAACTATGATGCATGATTTACTTCCCAAAGAATTAGAGTAAAACCACTCATTACATTAAGTACACTGTTTGCCCTTGAGTGCAGTAGTTTCCTTTCAAAATGTCCAGCATGGATCAGGATCTTGGGGGGTGTCTTTGTGGAGGGTGGGAGGGGGGCTTTAAGCTTCTACCCTCTGCTGTGGTCCCACATCTGAAGGGGGGCCCCACGCCTTCTCTTTGCAAGGGGAAACAAACTGCCATTCAGTCTAGTGCCTACGTCAGGTTGCCATATGTTCTCTTTTTCCAGGACACGTCCTCTTTTTCATGGGTAGAGTCGTCGTAGCGATCCGTAGTTAAAAGCAGAAGTCGGCAAACGTGTCCTCTTTTTTGCTCTTCAAAATAAGGCAGCCCTAGCGCTGGGAACATTCCCCCCCCCCCAGGCAAACAGCAGAAAATGTTCACAAAAACGGGCAGTTTTGCAAGAATTCAGGGTAGAATAACCAAACGAGCCTCAATTTGTCGCTGCTGTTATTGCAAACTTGGCGCAAGTAATTAAGTTTGCAGAAATTGGGTTGTTTTGCTGGTGCTTACTAAGAAGACAGCTATTCCCAGATTGCATTTGAAATTATAGGTTTAAATTACTTTATGGGGTTGCAGATTATATATACTGCGCTGCTCAGTGGACCAACAGGTTGGGTTAGGTAGGTTGGGTTCCTGGGGTCCTTTGAAACTCTTCTTCTACCTAGGTGATGAGATAGTCTGGGCCCCCAGGCAAAACGGCAAGCGCAAGTAACACGTTCCTGTTGTGGCTTGACATTTCACCTATATAGCTATGCGCCTCCTCTGCTATAACATCTTGTTTCAGCATTGCATATTTTGAGGCTTGACCCTGCAGGGGAAAGGAGCGAGCTAGCTGTGTGCTAGACGGAAGCAAACTGCTAAAATCAGGAGAATGAGTGTGGCGGCTGTAACTCAACCTGGATCCTCGCTGCCGGTGTGATGCTTTGATTCATTGATCTACAGCTTTTTGGGAAAGTGTTGACAGCCTCTGTGTTTTCCTTTGACCGGGCAACTCTTCCTGAATTTGCAGCCGCTTTAACCCAAGAAAAGGGCCCCTTGGGATTGGGAAAGATGCAATTACCTCCCCCCCCCCGGAGAAAACAGAAACAGGGTGGCTTCTTTGCTCTCTGCAAAACGCAAAGCAGAATTGGAAAATCTGTTAGTACTGGAGCAATTTTGTTTATGTGGTTTTTCTCTGCTTGCCAAATTGCATTTGAGGTGCTTTGCTGCAATGCAATAAAACCCATTTAGAGGCAACTGCTGAGTTGAAGCCCTTGCCACCATCTCCCCCCCCCCCTCCCCAAGCTAGCTACTGTATTTTTCGCTCTATAAGACGCACCAGACCACAAGACGCACCTAGTTTTTGGAGGAGGAAAACAAGAAGAAAAAAAATCTGAATCTCAGAAGCCAGAACAGCAAGAGGGATCGCTGCGCAGTGAAAGCAGCAATCCCTCTTGCTGTTCTGGCTTCTGGGATAGCTGCGCAGCCTGCATTCGCTCCATAAGACGCACACACATTTCCCCTTACTTTTTAGGAGGGAAAAAGTGAGTCTTATAGAGCAAAAAATATGCTCTATAATTCAGTATGGTGCATTGGCACACGGTGCTTGGGATTGATCAGCACTAGCTGTCTGTGGACAGCACCCCCTACAAAACATGCAACTTCCGTCTTCTGTGGACAGGCCAAACGAGTCTTGTTGTGCTGATGGAACAAAGCTCCAAGGAAGTGCTGACTGGAGAGACGGAGGACTGGAGGGACCTAGAACACTCAGGGCCTAACTTCATGCTATATTGATTGTGTGCTTCTTAGTCACACCAAAATTCTTTAAAATGCAATGTTGTAAAAGAACATCTTCAATAAAAATTAATAATAATAATAATACAGTGGTACCTCGGGTTAAGAATTTAATTCGTTTTGGAGGTCCGTTCTTAACCTGAAACTGTTCTTAACCTGAGGTACCACTTTAGCTAATGGGGCCTCCCGTTGTGCCGCCGCTGCACGATTTCTGTTCTCATCCTGAAGCAAAGTTCTTAACCCGAGGTATTATTTCTGGGTTAGCGGAGTCTGTAACCTGAAGCATCTGTAACCCGAGGTACCACTGTAAATGCAATGTTAGGCACCCAGCGGGGGGAGGGGGGAGGGAGTAATTTTCACCTGGGCTGAAGCACACAGAGAGGGGGGATTTAACTCTTGTATGCTTAGCCACAATCCCAAGGGGATTTAGCCCCCATCCCTGCGCCCTAAGCTGGAATTAACAATAGGGAAAGGGAAAGCTACCTTTGAAGGTGACCCAGAAAGTGCAATTAATCCACAATGCGGCAGCTAGACTGGTGACTGGAAGTGGCCGCGGGAACGTATAACACCGGTCCTGAGAGATCTGCATTGGCTCCCAGTATGTTTCTGAGCACAATTCAAAGTGTTGGTGCTGACCTTTAAGGCCCTAAACGGCCTCGGTCCTGTATACCCGAAGGAGCGTGTCCACCTGCATTGTTCAGCCCGGACACTGAGATCTAGCTCCGAGAGCCTTCTGGCGGTTCCCTCATTGTGAGAAGTGAGGTTACAGGGAACCAAACAGAGGGCCTTCTCAGTAGTGGCGCCCACTCTGTGGAACGCCCTCCCATCAGATGTCAAGGAAATAAGCAGCTATCCTATTTTTAAAAGACATCTGAAGGCAGTCCTGTTTAGGGAAGTTTTTAGTATTTAATGCTGTATTGTTTTTAACACTCGATTGGGAGCCCAGAGTGGCTGGGGAAACTCAGCCAGATGGGCGGGGTATAAATAATAAATTATTATTATTATAAAGCCTTCACTGGTGCCATTGCAGCACAGGTGTTTGGGGACAGAATTTTTTATTTTGGGATCACAGCTGAGGAGGGTAAGGTTAAGTTTCCCATCCATGTGCATTGAGCCCCTGTGGAAATTGCCCTCCACGCCTAGAGGAGTTGTTACTATTTTTTAAAAAAATCACTGACCTGGTTGCAAAAGATGTACAATCAACAGAGCAAGTATTTGGGTTGCAGGCGCAACGACGTGCTTTTTTAAACAAATAGGGTTGCAAGGAAAAGGATAACTCTGAAATGTGCAGTTTATCAGATTTCTCATTTGACTGAAAACTTGTTAACTGGCCACTGCCTCTAACCCACATGCAGTTTCTTAAGTATCTATACAATTTGCCATATTCCCTTTGGCCGTCCCTGCCTGTAATGGGTATGAGTTACTCGTGCGTAAACTGGTGCCTCTCTAGGCTAATTAGCCTTGTTAAACCTTTCTGACTGCACAGCCCTTTCTCATCGTGGCTGCCTCAGTCGCTGGCAGAATCCGTCAGTGGGCGTTTCTTGAACCTCTTCCAACATAAGAGTTGTTTGACACCCAGTCTCCTCCTCCTCTCACTGCGCGGGAGTCTTCTGCGCAGGGAGGGCGTGGGTAGCGGAGGACCTGTCCCCTCCTCACTGAGGTCCAGTGAAGAGTCCTGGAGCCCTCTCTCCGATTCCCCCATCTGCCCCCCTTTATCCCTGGTGTTGCGCTGATTTGCTTCCCCTTCTACTGAGCTGTTTCTCCCCCTGCTGCTGGGTCCTTCGCCAGCATCATCTAGGAGCCTCCCCTTCACCTCTCGCTCCGATGTCAGGTAAAAAATCGGGGGTCATCTTATACATGGATAGTGCCTAGAGGGGACGTGTGATTGGTTGCTGTCGCGACCTGGAGATTGTCAGCGGCTATTGGGTATGTTATTAGTTGCTGTGGCAAGGGCTGGTGTTGATTGGCTGTTTCTGCATCAATTGGGCGGGCGATTGGCAACATCTGCTGGCAAAGGGACTGACAATAAGCAGCTATTACGACGCGTGCAAGTGGCAGCGCTGGTCATGAGGGTGAGCGATTTTTGGCAATCCCCCCTTAAAAAAGCTCAAAAAATATGGGCAATCTCCCCCCATTTTCTTAATTTAGAGTGTCCCAAAATAGGAGGCGTCTTATACATGGGGGCGTGTTATAGAGTGGTACCTCGGGTTACATACGCTTCAGGTTACAGACTCCGCTAACCCAGAAATATTACCTCGGGTTAAGAACTTTGCTTCAGGATAACAGAAATCGTGCTCCGGCGGCGTGGCGGCAGCAGGAGGCCCCATTAGCTAAAGTGGTGCTTCAGGTTAAGAACAGTTTCAGGTTAAGAATGGACCTCTGGAACGAATTAAGTACTTAATCCGAGGTACCACTGTACACGGAAAAATATGGTAATTTCAAAGTAGATCTGCACCTAGTAGTATGTTAACAGACCTGACTCTGCATATGAAATGGGTCCTGCACGAGCAAAGCTTCTTCAAACCTTTATTTTAAGTCTCTCTTAGTGCAAAAGTTATTTTTCAAAGGTATTATGCGAAGAGCAAAAAATTAAACATTAAAAAAAAGAGAGCACCCACTTTTGGATGGTGGCTAGTTTCTGTTTGGGGAATGACGTTCTTTGTCTTTGTGAGGGAGCTGCTGAGCTTGGTGGACTTTGAACGGAGCAGAGGTTCATAGAGTTTGAGAGTGCGATACTCAGGGTGGATTTGCCACAGGGCAGATAGGTGTTTGCGCATGAGACCTGTTGTGAATCATAGTGCTGAACACCCCCAAAATCCAAATGTTAAAGGGAGAAAGTCCTCAATGGAGAAGCAAGATTTGCATGGGAGACCGATCTATCAGCAGGGCAGGGCCATATAGCTCAGTGGCAGAGCGGTTGCCCTGCATGCAGAAGGTCGCAGGTTCAACTCCCAACATCTCCATCCAGGGCTGAGCAAGGCTCCTGCCTGCATCCCTGATGAAGCCATCCAGTCTAGACAATGCTGAGAAAGATGGACCAATGATCTGACTTAGTATAAGGCAGCTTCCTATGTTTTTAAACCAGCGACAGTAACTGTAAAACCTGCAACCATGAAGGCTGATCGCCGAAGAATTGATGCTTTTGAATTATGATGCTGGAGGAGACTCTTGAGAGTCCCATGGACTGCAAGAAGATCAAACGTATCCATTCTTAAGGAAATCAGCCCTGAGTGCTCACTGGAAGGACAGATCCTGAAGCTGAGGCTCCAATACTTTGGCCACCTCATGAGAAGAGAAGACTCCCTGGAAAAGACCCTGATGTTGGGAAAGATGGAGGGCACAAGGAGAAGGGGAAGACAGAGGACGAGATGGTTGGACAGTGTTCTTGAAGCTACAAACATGAGTCTGACCAAACTGCGGGAGGCAGTGGAGGACAGGAGTGTCTGGCGTGCTCTGGTCCATGGGGTCACGAAGAGTCGGACACGACTAAACGACTAAACAACAACATTGCCGATTTATGCCACGGTCCTAGCTCTCTCCCACAGAAGCAAGTCTCATTAAATTCAATGGGACTTACTCCCAGCGAAGTAGGGTTAGGATTGCTGCCTTAGAATGACATCTGAATGTTTAGTCGGTAGAGCACAAGACTCACAGGGTTGTGAGTTTGAGCCCCACATTGGGCAAAAAAATTCCTGCATTGCAGGGGGTTGGACTAGATGACCCTCAGGGTCTCTTCCAACTCTGCAGTCGTATGATTCTGAGTGGGGTGTGTGTGCATGATTCTGAACTGCATTTCCACCTTCCCTATATCCAAATGATTCTGTGCTCCAGTCCATTGCCTCCCGAGGAAGAGATTAGCTACCGCCGTTCTTGCCTCGGAAAATGTTGATATTCTTTTCTTCCCTGTGTTCTTGCTCTAGCTCAGAAGTCCTGTGCTCACATCCTTCTTACTCTAACAAGAATCTTTGCATTTTCCCACCTTCTCTCTAAGGAAACCAGGGATTCTTCCCTCTCCAAATTAATTATCACATCACAACTCCCATCTCACTTAACATTAATCTCCCAACTCTCCCAGAGGTTTCAAGGGTTAATGTAGATCATGACAAGATATCACAGCATTGCCAAATTCTGTGGGTTGGGCCTAGATTAACAGCACAATTCCAGCACTTCTACAGTGGTACCTCAGGTTACATACGCTTCAGGTTACATACGCTTCAGGTTACAGACTCTGCTAACCCAGAAATAGTGCTTCAGGTTAAGAACTTTGCTTCAGGATGAGAACAGAAATCATGCTCTGGCGGTGCGGCAGCAGCGGGAGGCCCCATTAGCTAAAATGGTGCTTCAGGTTAAGAACAGTTTCAGGTTAAGAACGGACCTCTGGAACAAATTAAGTACTTAACCTGAGGTACCACTGTACTTAGATTTAAATTCCCATCGAAATCAATGAGGCTTATTCCAGGCAAGAGTGCCTACAGGATCTCAACCTTAGTTGCACATAGGTCCCATAGGAGTTAATGGGATCACTTAGTAATGATTTACAGTTCAAGCCTACCCATGTCCACTCGGAATTAAGTGCTGTTAAACTCAATGCAATTTACTCCCAGGCAAGTGGGGTTAGGATTGCAGACTTGCTTCTCCACTGAGAACAATGGGCCATTAACTAAGGTGTCAAGGAGCTGTCAAGGAGCCAGGTCATCCACTAGGCAGGCACACACATGGAAGGTGGAATGCAATTAGCTTTTTATTGGCAGATAAACAACAATGCAGCAATGCTCCTGGTTAGCCTTGACTCAACATAGGTGTTGCTGAAACTAAGCTCTAGGCATGACCTTTCCCCTCTAGCCTCTCACTCTGGATCCCTCCCAAGCAGAAAAAGGCTCTTCTGGGCATGTCAGGCGCATTGTGAAGGACCGGGCCATTCTGGAATGGGGAGTCAGGGGGAGGAGAATAAGGAGGACAGGGACTGAAGTGTAGGTGCGTTCCCACGAGGCTAGACACAGTGATAACAGCAAGAACCTTTATTGAGCTACAGTGATACCTCGGGTTAAGTACTTAATTCGTTCCGGAGGTCCATACTTAACCTGAAACTGTACTTAACCTGAAGCACCACTTTAGCTAATGGGGCCTCCCGCTGCCGCCACGCCGCCAGAGCATGATTTCTGTTCTTATCCTGAAGCAAAGTTCTTAACCTGAGGTACTATTTCTGGGTTAGCGGAGTCTGTAACCTGAAGCGTATGTAACCTGAGGTACCACTGTACGTAACTGGGAAAAGAGGCAAAGCAACTGCTTAGATACATTTCTGAAAGCCTGGGCCACTCTCGCTCCCAACGTGATTGGCTGTCTAAACTTCCAAACTGCGAATCACGACTCAAGAGTCCAAGGGCCAATGGCCGAGGCCCAAATCCTGAAATGTTCTGTGATTGGACAGCATGTATCGAATCAGAACACAGGAGCTCAGAATCCTTAGTCCAGACTCAAGCTCAGGCAAACACAGACCACTGAATACATAACAGGGACTGTTTGCGCTCACGCAGCCAGTGTGGTGTAGTGGTTAAGAGCAGTGGACTCGTAATCTGGGGAACCGGGTTCGCGTCTCCACTCCTCCACATGCAGCTGCTGGGTGACCTTGGGCTAGTCACACTTCTCTGAAGTCTCTCAGCCCCACTCACCTCACAGAGTGTTTGTTGTGGGGGAGGAAGGGAAAGGAGATTGTTAGCCGCTTTGAGACTCCTTCGGGTAGTGATAAAGCGGGATATCAAATCCAAACTCTTCTTCTTCTTCTTCTTCTTCTTCTTCTTCTTCTTCTTCTTCTTCTGATCCTGTCCTGGAGGACCCTTCTTCTCCTGAGCCCCCTGAATCGCTCAAGCCTCCGGTTTCTGTCCGCTCCCAGCTCTTCCCTTCTGCTGATGGCTCCACTGTGTCCCACCACCAGGCTCTGGGCTCTAAGGTGTCATCTTCAGAGCTCTCCCTGGGGGGCTCTGGGGAGGCAGGCTCATAGCTGTCAACTTTTCCCTTTTCTTGCGAGGAATCCTGTTTGGAATAAGGGAATTTCCCTTTAAAAAAGGGAAACGTTGACAGCTATGGGCAGGCTTCCACCAGACTTCATTCAACCTGTGCCTGACATAAGTTTGCAGTCTAAACCTTTGAGAGATACAAATTCCTAACCTAAGGTATCTTGCTTGGAGTTGGAAAAGTGGGCAGTTTACCTTAATTAAAAGGTGTCTGTGTTGTTGTTGTTGTAATTTAGATCCTGCCCTTCTTTCTGAAACGGCCCTCCATCTCTAAACCCTATACTCCCATGCTGGCTCATAGTTTGCATGCACCCTACTACCGCGCAGCAAACATTAACTATTTTAAAATCTGCTGGAGTTGCAGTCTGTGCCCAAGGCAACAATATTTGCTTACGCTAGAAGGGGGGAGGGAAACCCCAGTTTCTTCCTTTATATTCATGCCCAGCTGCATCCGGTCTTTTGCTGGCAGTGTGCAACAGACGTTAACCAATTAACACCCCATGGTTTTCCTACAAAATGCTTAGCAGCAGCTACTTCTGGGGTAGAGAGCATAGGATTTTATGCAAGGTCACATCATTGTGTTTGGGGATGGGGGTCTAGGAAAAGGCAGGCTTGTTATATAATAGCACTTGTTGCTCTTTACAGCGACCGTGCGAAGTAGATTATATTAACGTTCCCACACAGATGCGTTCCCACACAGATGGGAAACTGAGGCTGAGAAAGAGGAGTCTGTCCATGGCCACTCCGGATATCTCTAGCTCAGCAGTGAGTCGAACCAGTTTCACCAGCCTAGATCTACAGTGCTACCTCGGGTTATATACACTTCAGGTTACATACGCTTCAGGTTACGCACTCCGCTAACCCAGAAATAGTGCTTTAGATTAAGAACTTTGCTTCAGGATGAGAACAGAAATCGTGCTCCGGCGGCGTGGCAGCAGCAGGAGGCCCCATTAACTAAAGCGGTGCTTCAGGTTAAGAACAGTTTCAGGTTAAGGACGGACCTCCGGAAGGAATTAAGTACTTAACCTGAGGTACCACTGTACTAAAGTGGGGTGGGAGATCCTGCAGGGAACATGCTGGTGAAGCAGCACAAAACAGGACTGAAGTCCAGACCAAGATGATCAAGTCCAGACCAAGATGATCAAGGGTCTGGAAAGCAAGCCTTATGAGGAACGGTTGAAGGAGCTGGGCAGTGTTTCCCAACCTTTTTCCAACCGTGGCCCCCTTCCGACCTTGTTTTCTTCCTAGAAACCTCCAAGGATGGAGAGTCCGCAACCTCCTGAGGGAAATCCATCTTCCATGTATTATAAAAAGTAAACAACACTTTTTTTAAACCCCAGTTATTTGACACAGAGGGAGAAACCTACAGATAACAGTTCAAAAGCACACCCTCCAACATTTCTCTGATGGAAATAGGGACGTCCTATTCCATAATAATAATTTTATTATTTATACCCCACCCATCTGACTGGTTTGCCCCAGCCACTCTGGGTGGCTTCCAACATATATAAAAACATAAGAAAACATTAAACATTAAAGAAAAAACCCTTCCCTATACAGGGTTGCCTTCAGATGGCTCAGCGGTCAGATAACATTTCTCTGATGAAAATTGGGACGTCCTAAGGAAAAGCGGGACATTCCAGGATCAAATCAGAAACTGGGACGACATCTGTAAATCCGAGAGACTGTTCCTGGAAAATTGGGACACTTGGAGGGTCTGCAAGAGGCGCACAGGGAGTTCTGTATATATGGGAGAATTTTAAAAAGCAAGTGGTCCTCACTGACCTGGTGCAAAAAGATCTTGTCATCCGGAGGAGCCCCGGCTGCCTAGATAAAACACTATAGCCCCACACACCTTTACCTGGGAGTAAGGCCCACTGAACTCAGTGTGGCTTTCTTCTGAGTAGACAGTTATTTACTAGATGCAAGTCAGAAGCGCCAGACGACCCTGC